CTGTTTGTCATTGCATTGATTCCTCTGTCAACAATACTGAATAAGTCAGGCCATGGCTATCGAATATCAAAAACATCTGCCAGGCTATCTTACCTCCTTTACATGGATGATCTGAAACTGTATAGAAAAATACTATCTGAAATCGCTGCTCAACACTATCCAAATATACAGCCAAAATATTGCAGTGGAGTTTGGACTGGACAAATGTGCCACCCTTACCATCAACAGGGCAAAAATAGTGAAAACTGAAGGAATCAAGATGCCCAATGGAAATAACATCATGAGTCTGGATGAAGAAGATCACTACAAATACCTGGGCATCATTCCAGCTGGCACTATCAAGCACATTGAAGTCAAGAAGAAGATTAGGAGTGAATACATCATGAGAGTGAAGAAGATCTTAAAGTCCAAACTCAGTGGAGGAAATACCATCAAGGCAATTAACACCCAGGCAATTCCAGTCATTAGATACACAGCTGGAATAGTGGACTGAACTCAAGCAGAACTAGAAGACCAGAAAAATAATGACAATGAATCATGCCCTTCGTGCACGCAGCAATGTTGACAGACTTACCAAGGAGCATAGGTGGGTGTGGAATGTTGGAAGTACACCAGACAGTTGAAGAAGAAAAAAGGGCATTAGAAGAATATCTGAAGGACAGTGAGAAGATGCACTGAAGCTAGTACACCATGAAGGCTTACTGAATACTGAAGAGAAAGACCATATGAAGAATAGAAAAGAGACATGGCAAGGCAAAGTATTGCATGGCCAGTACACAAAAAACTAGCAGGCAAAGCAGACAAGAAGACCTGGCGATAGCTAAGAGCAGGAAAGTTGAAGAAAGGGACAGAGGGGACTAATTCTGGCTGCACAAGACCATACTTTAAGAACAAATGCATATAAAGCCAGAATTGAGAAGACAGCAACAGACAGCAAATGCCGCTTCTGCAAAGAAGCTGAAGAAACAGTAGACCACCTTGTCAGCTGCTGCAAAAAGATCACACAGACTAACCACAAACAATGGCATGACAAAGTAGCAACAATGGTGCATTGGAGTAACTACAAACAAAACAAAGTAATAGAAAATGAAGAAACTAAAGTGTTCTGGGACTTTAGAATTCATACAGACAAGCACCTGCTACACAACACCCCAGACTTTACAACTGTTGATAAGAAAGACAAAAAAGTCTGGATAATGGACATTGCAATACCTGGAGACAGCAAA